GAGGGAGGCAGGGCTTCAGGATTTCTTATTTCTGAGCTGTACTCATTTTAGTAATGATGAAAAATTGTTACAAGGAATTCCAGTGAAAAAGCTACTGGGATTTTTTTCGAATAGATGAATGAAAGGATCACCTTTTAATCAGTAAGGCTACGTCTGCACTGCAATTAGACACCCACAGCTGGTCCATGCCAGTGGACTTCGGCTTGCACTATGGGGCTGTTTAATTGCAGTGTAGATGTTTGGGCTCGGGCTCTGGGACCCTCCCACTTCATAGGGTCCTAGAGCCCAGGCTCCAGCCCGAGCCCAGAAGTCTACACTGCAATTAAACAGCCCCTTAGCCCAAAACCCATGAGCCCCAGTCAGCTGGCACAGGCCAGCCACAGAGTTTTAACAGCAGTGTAGACACACCCTAAGATGTGTAGTAGAATGTGGTTCTAAGCATTTTAAATCACGCAGCTTAGGCAGTGTTTTTTTCAAATCCTAGTTTGACAATAGAGGCTTTCTGGGAACAGAACACTACATACCAACATCTCCCAACACATGGATTCACCAGTAAACGTACCAACAAATGAGTTTCGCACCATGCCAGTCGATGTTCTTTGCACATTCTATCACAGCAGTAAAAAAAGGCCAAACTTTGGAAAGTGGCTCTGGCATCACAATGGTTTACCAATTATTTTAGCATTTTCTTCAAACTATTTTTATACTGCACCAAGACAATATAATGGCAACATTACTGTAATATTATACAATGGGTATAAGTATTTTGCTTAATTTTCTTCCACTTGCTATTGGATATTTTAATGAAGGATCTACTTAGATTGGTATAGTTACAGTAGGCCTCACTGGATGTTCTCCAGACAACAGAGGGTGTTGAGGCAGCTTTTAAAATGAATGGAAGGACCACCGAAATTTGAATTAATTGAAATGACAGTTGATTTGCCCTTTATTGCAGGCAAAAAGTAAGATTAATGTGTTCCAGAAAATTTATTAAATCTTACTGCTCTCTGGCCTGTCCTACCCAGGGACCAGTAGAAGTTGGGACCCACCTGATACTCAAGGATCTTCCTGCTCCCATTATTGAACAATTATAGCGAATTACAATAATCACCACAAACACTCCATTGGAAGATGTAGGGTTGGATTTTCAAAAGCACAGAACACAGGCCTAATGCAGCTGCCACTAAAGTCAATATTAAAACTCCAATTGACTTTCCTGGCAGTAGCATTAGGCCAATGCTCAGGGCTTTTAAAAATCCCACACAATCTATGGGGCCATTATCGTATCAGACTGCTTTAAAAAAAAAAAGGCCAGTGCATATTCTGAGTTGATGGAAAGGGGCATGGAGAGAATGTGCTAACTCCTTCACACATTGTTTTACACTAGCTTGTTCCCCTCTGTGTTCTTTTGCACAACAGGGGAACATATGGATCTGTCCCACCCAATGTTAAAGCATTCTGAAAGATATACAATGTAGACAAGAGAATGCTGCACTTACCAGTAGGCAAGGATGCAAGTAGCATTGCTACAAATGTTATACAATACCAGTGACAGATAATCATAAAGTAATAACTGGCCCCCAGAATGAAAACAAACTAAAGAGAGGTTTCAGATTAGCAGCCATGTTAGTCTGTATCCGCAAAAAGAAAAGGAGTACTTGTGGCACCTTAGAGACTAACAAATTTATTTGAGCATAAGCTTTCGTGAGCTACAGCCCACCTCATCGGATGCATGCAGTGGAAAATACAGTGGGGAGATTTATACACACAGAGAACATGAAACAATGGATGTTACCATACACACTGTAACAAGAGTGATCAGGTAAGGTGAGCTAATACCAGCAGGAGAGCAGGGGGGGGGGAACCTTTTATAGTGGTAAGTGAGGTGGGCCACTTCCAGCAGTTGACAAGAACGTGTGAGGAACAGTATGGGGGGAAATAAACATGGGGAAATAGTTTTAGTTTGTATAATGACCCATCCACTCCCAGTCTCTATTCAAGCTTAAGTTAATGGTATCCAGTTTGCAAATTGATTCCAATTCAGCAGTCTCTCGTTGGAGTCTGTTTTTGAAGTTTTTTTTGTTAAAGAATTGAAACTTTTAGGTCTGTAATCGAGGGACCAAAGAGATTGAAGTGTTCTCCGACTAGTTTTTGAATGTTATAATTCTTGACGTCTGATTTGTGTCCATTTATTCTTTTACGTAAAGACTGTCCAGTTTGACCAATGTACATGGCAGAGGGGCCTTGCTGGCACATGATGGCATATATCACATTGGTAGATGTGCAGGTGAACGAGCCTCTGATAGTGTGAGTGATGTGATTAGACCCTATGATGGTGTCCCCTGAATAGATATGTGGACACAGTTGGCAATGGGCTTTGTTGCAAGGATAGGTTCCTGGGTTAGTGGTTTTGTTATGTGGTTGCTGGTGAATATTTGCTTCAGGTTGGGGGGCTGTCTATAAACAAGGACTGGCCTTTCTCCCAAGATCTGTGAGAGTGATGGGTCATCCTTCAGGATAGGTTGTAGATCCTTGATAGTGCGTTGGAGAGGTTTTAGTTGGGGGCTGAAGGTGATTGCTAGTGGCGTTCTGTTATTTTCTTTGTTGGGCCTGTAGTAGGTAACTTCTGGGTACTCTTCTGGCTCTGTCAATCTGTTTCTTCACTTCAGCAGGTGGGTATTGTAGTTGTAAGAATGCTTGATAGAGATCTTGTAGGTGTTTGTCTGAGGGATTGGAGCAAATGCGGTTGTATCGTAGAGCTTGGCTGTAGACAATGGATCGTGTGGTGTGGTCTGGATGAAAGCTGGAGGCATGTAGGTAGATATAGCGGTCAGTAGGTTTCCGGTATAGGGTGGTGTTTATGTGACCATCGCTTATTCGCACCGTAGTGTCCAGGAAGTGGATCTCGTGTGGATTGGTCCAGGCTGAGGTTGATGGTGGGATGGAAACTGTTGAAATCATGGTGGAATTCCTCAAGGGCTTCTTTTCCATGGGTCCAGATGATGAAGATGTCATCAATGTAGCGCAAGTAGAGTAGGGCGTTAGGGGATGAGAACTGAGGAAGCGTTGTTCTAAGTCAGCCATAAAAATGTTGGCATACTGTGGGGCCATGCAGATACCCATAGCAGTGCCGCTGATTTAAAGGTATACATTGTCCCCAAATGTGAAATAGTTATGGGTGAGGACAAAGTCACAAAGTTCAGCCACCAGGTTTGTCGTGACATTATATGGGACTATTCCTGACTGCTTGTAGTCCATCTTCGCGTGGAATGTTGGTGTAGAGGGCTTCTACATCCATAGTGGCTAGGATGGTGTTTTCAGGAAGATCCCCGATGGATTGTAGTTTCCTCAGGAAGTCAGTGGTGTCTCGAAGATATCTGGGAGTGCTGGTGGCTTAGAGCCTGAGGAGGGAGTCTACATAGCCAGACAATCCTGCTGTGAGGGTGCCAATGCCTGAGATGATGGGGCATCCAGGATTTTCAGGTTTATGGATCTTGGGTAGCAGATAGAATTCCCTTGGTCGGAGTTCTACGGGTGTGTCTGTGCAGATTTGTTCTTGTGCTTTTTCAAGGAGTTTCTTGAGCAGATGGTGTAGTTTCTTTTGGTAACCCTCAGTGGGATCAGAAGGTAACGGCTTGTAGAAAGTGGTGTTGGAGAGCTGCCTAGCAGCCTCTTGTTCATATTCCGACCTATTCACGATGACGACAGCACCTCCTTTGTCAGCCTTTTTGATTACGATGTCAGAGTTGTTTCTGAGGCTGTGGATGGCATTGTGTTCTGCACAGCTGAGGTTATGGGGCAAGTGATGCTGCTTTTCCACAATTTCAGCCCATGCACCTCGGTGGAAGCACTCTATGTAGAAGTCCAGTCTGTTGTTTCAACCTTCAGGAGGAGTCCACCCAGAATCCTTCTTTTTGTAGTCTTGGTAGGAACGTGTCTGTGGGTTAGTATGTTGTTCAGAGGTATGTTGGAAATATTCCTTGAGTCGGAGACGTTGAAAATCGGATTCTAGGTCACCACAGAACTGTATCATGTTCGTGGGGTTGGAGGGGCAGAAGGAGAGGCTCCGAGACAGGACAGATTCTTCTGCTGGGTGAAGAGTATAGTTGGATAGATTAACAATATTGCTGGGTGGGTTAAGGAAACAACTGTTGTGGCCCTTGTGGCATGTAGTAATTTAGATAGTTTAGTGTCCTTTTTCTTTTGTAGAGAAGCAAAGTATGTGTTGTAAATGGCTTGTCTAGTTTTTGTAAAGTCCAGCCACGAGGAAGTTTGTGTGGAAGGTTGGTAAACACGGACTTTATCATTTTTGTTCCCTAAATCATAGCGTCTACATATACTTCAGTTTCAATTAGGACTGGAATGTGATCTTACTTTGGAAATAGGATTCAGTAATAATGGATACCCTCTATTCTGTTGCTGCTTTGGGGAGACAAGATGGGCGAGGAAAAATTTTGGAGCAACTTCTGTTAGTGAAAGATAAAAGCTTTCAAGCAACACAGAGCTCTTCCTCAGGTCTTGGATGGTCCAATAAAAGATATTACATCACCTACCTTGTCTTTCTAATACCCTGGAACCAACATGGCTACAAAGCTACTGCAAACAACATTGCTACTTTGGTCAGGTCTATAACGAAAATGATCTATTAGGGCATGGCAGCAAATAAGCTGAGGCCAAGGAGCTAAACTTTGTTCCGTGATTACAGATTCTTGCCTTTATTTACTGCTCAGTCTAATTCTTTCATGATTTCCTAAAAGAATTTAAGAACCACCTCTCAATGCCCCATGTGGCTACTTCATCTCTGTCTTTGCCAGTGTTTTCTCCAGTAAAAAGTCAATAATAATTAAATTAGTGGTGGTCACCAAAATTGGTGCAAACATATAAAAAGGGTAAAACCAAAATGTTAAATGACTAGAGACGTGACAGATGTAGGCAAGGAAGGGAAATGAAGTACCCATAAAGTCTTACAATGGGGAAAGAAGAAATAAATGGGTCTCACAGCAGAAGCATTTGTAGTTTTATTAGAAAGAGACATTAGCAGACAGTATCACAAAATAAAAAAAATTAAAACAATCAGCAATGAAAACAAATTCAAAAACATATAAAAACACTAACCAGCAGATTTCTTCTTTTAATTATTTCATGTCTATCTATCTTACTGTATTGCTTGCAATGACATCACTCTAGTTTAATGATTTCTAATTTTCCATCATGTATGGAAAGACATAGGGCCATTTTGATGCTCAGGGAACACAGTGTACTGAGAGAATAGATCTCTGGAACAGAACCTTCAATCATTCACATGATTTTCCTAGAATATCCTGAACTTTGCCATGTATTTAACTTTCACAAAATATTATGTCTTAAACATTTCACTGTTTCAGGGCGACTGCTTCCAAAACTGGCTGCAGAGTATACAGAAATAACCTCGTGTACTAGTGATATCCGGAGCACACACCATGAACAGGAAATCTAACAGATCCAATTCCACCAAGATACAGTGGTTTTTATAAAGGAAGTTTTTTGGTTTACATCCTCATGTGTTCAACTTTGCAAATGCATAACTTTAAAAACAAGTTGACAATTTATAATCTTAAACAATTGCCTTTTGTACCAACATTAACAAACTAAAGATATTCACTACTTTAAAAGAGCTATAATACTCTTTGACATTTCATCAGATTCAGAGCCTCCTGTTAGCACAACTAGTGGCAGATTAACAAGCAATGCAAAGGCCCAGATGTTGTTACTCCTCAAATTTTATTCACACTTGTCTCTGTGGTTAAATTCCATGTATGTGCTAGTGTTGGTTACACTTTCCTTGATGCAGTTGTCCATGCCTAGCAGTGAGTAAAATCATATTGATTTTTTTTTTAAAAAGTACCTTATTAACCCCAACATGTTGTAAAAATGGGGCTATAAAAGGACCATGTCTGCAAACCCACTGAGGACATCCTCAGCCGGTGTAAACTGTCATAGCTCCATTTAAGTCAAGAGATGTTGACCTACATACAAGTTTTATCTTTCTCTATATAATTGTGTGGATTTTACATCCTGCTTCTGTAAATTGACATGAATCACAATACAATGACCTAATAAGTGGAGTTAGTAGCTACCTTCTCCAAAGTGATTGCTTTAATTGAAAAATGTAACATCCAATTTCTTATCTGTGCTACGACAGTTTGCACTAACTGCAAATATGCCCATTGGACCAGGTTTATTGTTTAATACCATGGGTTGAATGGGAATACCCGATAGTAAGCAATATGCCCAGTAGAAGCATGTGTAATCTCAGACCTCAAAACTGTATTTTAAAATATAAATTCACAGAACCCTCCACCTTAACCAGTTTTTGGATTTTGTGTGTCACACAAAACACAAAGACAAGTCATGACCAGTGCAGACTTTGCTTTCTAAGACTAAATTTGATTATTTTTAAATTCACAGAGGATGTGTTTTCTCTGTGTTCATCCTATTTAAAGGAATAAGGCCCTTTAATTTTCTTGTATTTCTTTAAACTAGGAAAACTCCTAACTTTATTAAAAATAAGAGTATATACATTTTAATATTAATTTCACAGCTAGAATAATTAAAGTCTGAGAACCATAGAATCTCCAATTTTAACTTAACGGTTAAGTTGAAATAATGAAAGATTACTAAGGAATAAGAACAACCTTACAAATATACATTCTCACACAGCATATTGCTTTGGGACTGAAATGGTTTGAAATATGAAATATTTATACCACCTGCAAAATCAAATTATTTCAAAGCGACCAAATATACTAATCCCCCTGCTGTATCATCTGCCTTATGATTTCAAAAAGGCAAGGATTTTGGTTAATGCCAATGCAAATGGTGCCCAAGTGCCACATACATTTAAGATAAAATGCTGACAATACAAAAGGTCACTGGATTTATATTATTCTTCAGTTTGGTTTGTTTCCTGGTGGCATGTTGAACATTGTACAGTAATTCCTAAGAAACGTAGACATTTTAAATGCAGGCTTCTGTTTATCTATTTATGCAATGGTTAAGGGACAGATTCTGATTCCTTTATTCACACTGGTCCCAACTGTGAGCTGGCCTGTGTATCCCCTACCACCCCATACAGAGGAGTCACCATCAGGCAGCTACATCCTCTCTCCTACACCAGTAGATAGGGAGTCAATCTTTTGTCTCTGCCTCCCACAGTGCACCAGCCAGCCAACTGAGCCAGCACAGTGGAAGTAAGCAGTACAAGAAAATGAACGAGCAAAGCCTGCTTCCCCACTTTCAGAAAGGGGAAAGTAGGGATTCAACTGGGACTGCATTACAATTTGGTCTGTGCTCTACTCTTGACGCAGTGTAACAACACGCTGTCCTTTGTAAGGTGCCAGTCTTGTCCATTAAGCAACAACTTACTCCACAACTAGTCACACTGATCTCAAGAGGGCTATTAGTGGAGTAAACTGCTCTTCAGTGTGAAAAAAGCTGTCAAAATTGGGTCCTAAATGATAAAAACCATTTTTCCCACAATACACTACATCTGCCATGCTAAAAATATGGGCAGAAGAGTTAAATGTTTATAGAAAGATACTGATACTGTATGTCCATTCTTAAAGTGAAATGGCCTCTGGTATTGTAAGCAAACACATCTAATGCAAAGCACAAAGTAAATCCATTATTTCAAGGCCGTTTAAATGATATGAATACACAGAATTTCAGTGCTTTAAATTCTTAAGTGCTCCAAATCTGCTGGGAACAAATAAGGAGTCTGTATGGAAATGTCGTACAGCATCCAGTTGACTGCATAGGCTTAGAGGTAAGGTGACCGTATTGCTAGTTTTTCCGCCTCTTACTCCTGGGAAGTACTTGACCACTTTCCGGTGTTTTGGGGCGACGTGATTTCCGTTTGCTAACTTTCACATCTGGAAAGCTGCTGTGAAAAAAAATAGAAAAGAAAATGTGTTTTGTAATCTGTTCTAAATGTAATTAAAAACTGAATATTTCTACTAAGAATTATAAGCACCCGGTGCACACCCTTCCTTTATATTCTTTGGGAGGATAAAACACAATATTGCTTTAACTTATTTGGTCTGCTTCATAGCCATCAGTTCGTGAAAATAAGGTGGAAAATGGAGCTCTTGGTATCAGGTTCCTCTCTACAAATAATATCAACCCAAAAGAACAGTTGTCAGTACAGAATGTCTCTTCCGCACCTAAGGGGGCAAATCCCAACCAGCCAGAGATTATGAACATTTATTGTCATGGAGTAAGGAGAACACCATACACTGTTAAAATGTGGAGTGGTTGCTCTTCAAAAAACATTTCAGTGAATTGACTTCTTCAGACTTCAGTGCAGTAAGCCACTCTTCAGGATGCCATCATCATGTTTCAAGCAAAGTATCAATTCTCTTAGGTACACAGACACTCACCATAAAAGTGACAGGCCTGATCATACAGAATTAATAAAAAGACTAAGCTGTTTAATCCTTCAAATAATACTTTCCTGGGTCTCTAAAATTGTTCTCTAACTAGTAGCACATGGTTCTTTCTTTACTGCTCATAACTTTCATTAAAATAGACATAAAAACTTTGGAATCACAGCCACCAAATGTAGTAAACCCATGAGTCTGAAGTCTGAGAGAATTTGAATGTGACTTTATTATAACATTTCCTATGAGGGCCCAACACTTTCAAAATAAAATTGCTACTTTTTAGGAAAATGGTAATCACATAGCTCACTAGGGCTCTGACTCAAAAAAGGTACTAAAGTATATAAGAACCCCACTGAAGTCAGTGGGCCAGTTCCTAAACTAGTGCAAATGGGCATAGCCAATTTTCAGCAGCTGAGGATCTGGCCCAATGGTAACATATAACTGCTTAAAGTTAAGCACTTATTTAAATGCCTTATTGGACTGGATTCAGTACCTTGCAGAAGCAAGACTTTAAATTTGTGAATCACTTAGCTTTTTTACCTCAGTTTTCCTATCAGTAAAATGAGAATATTTACTTCATAGAAATGTTGCAAAGATTGATCAGTTCTATTTTAGGTATTTCTAAGGCTCGTATCTCCATAGTACCTTGTTTACATGGGGAAATTAGTGTGCAGTAAGCTAAAGTGTGAATTAAAAACACACTAGCTACTTCGCACTAACTCCCCATGTAAACACTCCTATTGCACTTTAGGGGTGTCCTTGAGTGGTTTAGCCTAGTACATTTCCGAAGTGCATTAAGCTAATACGCACAAAGGCACTCAGTGTGTATTAAGAGTGTCCACACAGGGAGTTAGTGGGGAGTAGCTGGTGCACACCAGCACTTGCAGACTTTTTCCTTGTGTAGACAAGCCCTAAATGCTGTTGTCCTTACTTGAATTACACTTTGCAGGGGGAAAAAAAAACTTAAGCTTTGGAGGTTTGTTTGACAGGCAAAAGAAATCTTTTCCCTGTGAAAAAGGGGCTCCATTATTCTTATTCCAATACTGTAAACTTCCTAGCTGATAAAACGACCGTGTGTGCATGTGTGTTTAAACTGGTAACGAAAGGCCAATCTACTCAGTTCCTCCCAAGCATCCACACCCACCAGTGTGTATTCCGGCAGAGTCATGAAGTTGGAACACCTATACTAAATCTTGTTGCTTCCTGTTGATGTTCATTTTCCTCCCTCTAATCCTATTCCTGGTTCATTTTCTCACTGGTAGTATAGTCAGTTAAACCAACAAAAATGTGGTTGTTGCCCTGGGTATGCTAGAGGGAGAAGGCTACACAGAGAGAAAGTGAGTGGCTGCTGTCGTGAGAAAGTGTCCTCCACACTTTTGGGGGTGACTAGACAGTTTCTCCACCACCTGACCACCTCTCTTTCACCCTCCCTCCCATCCCCCCAAAATACCCCGTCTTGATAAAAGAATGGGTGCACAGCAAGGGGAATATTTTATATTCTGCCTTTTATTAAATATTTTTTTACAAAAATACATGGATTTGATTTTACAATAAATAACTTCTCATGTGCCATGTTTTGATGGTAGCTGCATCATTTTGGGGCTCTAACCACAGTAAATGTTAAATTCCCTTATTTTAACTCCCAGTTAACTTCCCATCCCTGAAAAAGATCTCTAGCCTGTTAGCATCAGTAAAAATTTCCTATGGCTCACAAATAAAGAAAAAGATTATAGAACAGAGACTAAAGCATGATATTCATCTTTAACCTGCAGTACAAGCAATTTTGTTAACGATAGAACAAGATATTTATGAAGAGTTTACAAAAGGAAAATTTCACTGAAGCAGGATGTCAGCTATGGAGATATGTTTTAGAAAAGTTATTTAAAACTATAAACTGAACTCTGTTTTCTAGGTCAGTTAGCTGACATTCTTGCCTCACAAGGCTCTGCTGCAGCTGAAATTAAATGTTTATTGCTTATTGAAAACACAACCATCAGGCACTTTCTTGGTGTTACAAAGTATTGGAAGAGTAATACAGTTGCTCCCTTCGGTGTTTCTGAACAAAAAGAATAAAATTCTCTTCATTTTTATTTTCAAAGATAACCCTCCAGTATCACGGCTAACGTTGACAAAGCAGTATAAGTAAGTTATTGAAAGAAGTCTACTTAAAATGGAACTCTTCCTGGCAATAAAGAAGTTACAAGTGATATTTGCCATAGCTCCCTATTAAAAAAGGAACTTGTGGGGAGTTTTCTTGAGACAGTCCCCATTTGCCAGAGGATCTTCACACTTAGTACCAATGAATTTTCCATCACCAACTCAAAGAAATAGGGGGGTTTTCCTTATTCGCAGAGTTAATTAAAACTGAGCAGAGTGTTGCAGTAGTAGGTACATTTAAATTAGGCAGCTAAATTGCATATCTCAGCCTAGCAGCTTGGAATCCCAGGTAGTGATGACATGAGTGACATAATGTTCACCAGTCCATAGCTATTACAGTACCAGAATTCTCCACAAAAATACATTCTGTTTTTTACCATTTGCCAAAATTTGTCCAGGAAAAATCATCTGGCTAAACTGGGAATTTGCAACTGAAAGTAAAAATGGAAAAATCTGAAGTGCCAAAATTACTGCCTCCAACAACTGGAGCAACTCGTATTTCAGACCCCAGTCCTGCATTGAAATGAGAGCGGAAGGGCCCCAGCACCTGCATGAAGCCCCTGCAAAGTCACTGACTGTGTCCCTGAACATCAGGGTCAACACTAGAATGCTCCTTTGGTGGTTTGTGTGATCCTAAGAGCTCCTGAATGCCCACAGGCAAATGTATGTAACTGGACCTGATCCTCAGCTGACCTAAACAAGCTGGTGTGTGCATCCCAATCTCTGAGTTCCCTTGAAGCATTCCCCTGCAGAGTCCAGCCTTTAGCCATTGGACAATCTCAGAAACATTCATAACAGATCTAGGTTGCTGCAGCTTTTTTATAAGTTTGCCAAATACCAAAACGTCATTTTTCAAACATCAGCAACAGAGCTATTTTCAAAGTATTCATAACACAAAACAGGCTGGAGTGGTTTCCTTTGGTATCTATTTACCGGATTCTTGCAAATTAACCTGTTTCAGTCAAAGTTCTCTGGGCACGTGACATGCATGCAAAGGAAAGGGATATAAACCTTTATGCTTTAGAGCATTAGTCAACCTCTAATTACATGGACCCTGGATGGTATTCAGAGCACTTGCTGGTGCTCAAATGGTGCTGGTTTCACAACCTTTTTTCCAGATACTAAATTATATTACATACATTAAATACTTTCTTAATGTTACTTTTCCTATAAACAATTGCCATAGTTGCCACAGGATGTTATTTGATTGTAAACGAGAGGTAGTGATTTATGCAGACATGATGGATAGAGATTTTCCAGGAAACACTTTCTATTCGGAGGTGATCTGCACCATAGAAAAGTTAGGGAACAATTGTCCTTCCAATGCAGGATTGTTTCCTGAAGTACATTTATTAGTACTTTGCTGGGTCCAGATTGAAGTGTCATTTCCTAAGCTCAAGCAGATGGATCACACCGGTGTGAAGTATTTTCTGATATTTACCTCACTATTTCTATCAAAACCCTGCTCTTGTACTACCCAAAGTAATCTCTCTCCATCCATAAAATTTATACCTTTGATGTTTTTGTAGACCATTATTTGGTCTTCAGTTAGTCACTGCTTAGCCAGGCAATTATCGTGGCAAATTAACTTAATTAATACTTCCTCTAGTCCATTGATAATTTTTGTTATTCCCTTCTGATAATCCTCTGATTTCTTAACATCTCTCTAGTAATGAGGACTCCAGAAATCAATCTAATATTCCAGATCATACCAGAACCGATTAGACACTGATTATTGCCTCCCTAATCCATTACACGTCTCTGCCAAGCAGTATGGCAGCACAGGTGGCCAAAATAATTTTGCTGTTCAGTATATATACTCTTGTCTAATATGCTCTTCACTATCACACCCAAGTCTCTTTCAATTTTACTTGTTTCGAGCTTCCTCCCACTTAATCTGAACTGCATACACAGTATTATTAGTTTTCATTTTCTAAGAAGAAGCTAACTTTGTTATTTTCCGCTCTCTAGGACTCCTTATACACTGTTGCCCAAGAAAGAACTCAGTGTTCCAAAATATGGCCCTTAAAACTGTAACAGAAGCCATTCCATGACGCAGCAGCCACGCATGTAGTCATCCATTTGCTGAAATGTATAAACAGTTAGGAGGAAGGGGATACGCCATGAAAAGTGCAAATATAGCTGTTTTTAGGGATATGGGATAAGCACTAGACTGGGCAGGAAGCAGAGTCATTGGTTTAAGGGAGCACAGTATGTCAGCAAGAAGCAGAAACAGCCCTAGGACAATTATAGGCCAAGTGCATCAATCTGTAATGAATTTGCATTCCACAAATCTGGAGACACTGGTTACCTGAGGATTACATAAATTCAAAACATACAACTC